GGATTACTGGCCATCACGGCACCAAACTACTAGGGGCGGTTTGGGGTCGTGACATTAATGGTCTTCTTCCTCCTACTTTATAATGCATTGGTTCTACTGGGTCTTCTACCGTAGGTCGTGGGTTACTGGTTCCTGTGCTTTCTGTGTTCATATAAAAAGTGTCTTCTAAGTTAGATGGTCTTGGTATTTTAAATATTTTACTATGATGTATTTTATCTTCTAAAATATCATCTACATATTCAGTATGAAATTTTTGGTCTAAAAATGATACCGCTTCATCATGGGTATCTCCTCTAGCTAAATATTCATAATATCTGATATCTAATATTTTATTCATATCAGCGAGGGTGAAATTTTCTAAATCTATCTCATCAATATTATATATTTTATTTTGTGATACTATTTTTTTCTTCTGTTATTACATAAAGCTGATTAACGTCGCTATGATTATCTTGATTTTCTTCTCTATTTACATTACTAAATTCATCATCTTCGGATTTATCTGGTGCTACATAGGTGTACTGAGTAAATCTTACTGCATAATTTCCATCTGCTTTTTGATATAATAAATTATCTTGTGGGGCTAATCTTTTTTGTCCTAAAAAATCTCCTAGATTCCAATCTAGTGTTGCATTATCTTCAAAATTATATTTTTTAGCTGGTAGTGCCTTTATTCATTTTGCGCCTAATATCTTAACTATTTGATCATTTATAAGTCTATAATGAGTGTTACTTTCTGAAACCGCTAAACCTAAAAATCCTGTGCAAACTAATAAATTCTTTTCTCCCCTTTTCATTTTATATTCTCTACTCTTTATTCCTATTTTTATCTTTTTATGAAAGGTTGAGGTTGGTAAAAGGAAATCTGGTGTAAAATAAACTATTCCTCCTTTTGAATTCATATCTAATTCATAGCTGCCTGAAATACTCTGTCCTACATCATTAAATTTATCATCATAAAGACATAAAAAGACATTAGTTCCTAAATTTTCTCTAGTTAAAGCCTTAACTCCTACCACAATTAATCCTAAGTGAGTTATTTTGAGGTGTTCATTTACAGCATATTTATAACTTTCCCTGTTTATTAAATTTAGCTCTATTTTTTCATCTTCTTGAGTGACGCTAATCATTTGTTCACCATAGTGTTTAAATAAATATCGTTTTTTATTAATTTTTCCTAGCTTATATACATATTTGGCTGGAATTAACTCTAGTTTTTCTTTTTAAAATTTTTCTATTTGTTGTTCCACATCTGTAAATTCTTCTACTTTAACATCTTCATCTTCATTACGTTTCTTACTGTTACTTTCTTTTATTAGCTGTTTAAACATTTTTATTTTCTATAAGTTCTACAAACAGGTTTCTTTGATAATTTAAGCTTTTCAAAATATTTAGCTATATCTTCCTTGTTTATTCGAGATTGAGGTTTACTTGCTTCTACTTCTTTTCCTTTTTGAAGTATTAATCTTTCTAACGAAGCTAAACGATTCTCTAAACTATGTAGTTGTTCTGTTAATTCTTCAAGTTTTTCACACAACCGGATAAGAAATAAGATTTCTATATTATTCTGTCTTACTGATATTTTATCTGACTGATTTATTCCTTGATAGCTACTAATTCCTTCTGGATTATTATGAAAGTCTTCTGCTTGTCTTAAAATAATCTGATAATCTCTATTAGCCTTCTTATCACTACTCATAAATCAAGATCTTATTAGTTGTTCTAAAATTTCTAATTTTTGTTTTAAATTATCTTGAATCTAATTGATCTGTTCTATTTGTCTAGCTATTTGATTTATCTGATTATGAATTTTTTTTTTTCAATTAGTTGCTAAAATTCTAATTCTAATTATTTTGAGCTATTAATATTTATGGCTAAAATTAGAGTTTCTATTTCTATCTTGGTGGGGAATTTTACTAAATTTAAGTCTATCTGTTTTTGTAGGATTGAACTACACTGATCTTGGATATAATCTAATTTTTTATCTTGATCTTTAATTATGCTGCGAGTATTACGAAGATGGTCTATAGATAAAGTAAAAAGATTACTAATTTTATCTACGTACTTTTTAATATTTTCTGCAAAATTAATCTGATGATCTATAATACTATTTAGCTGATAATTATGTTCGCTATGGAGCTGATGTGTAAAAATATCCTCAAAAATATAACAAAATTTATTTTTATTTATATGAAGACGATGGTTATGATTGCTGAGTTCTAAATCTAAATATTCTATTCTTTTTATACACAAAATTAAATCCTACATTAAAATTATTAAAAGCTACTATAATATGAAATTTATTACTAAATTGTCCAAAAATAAAAACAACTCTATTTTCGTAAGCAAAATGCATAAACTAACTTAAATTGTCCTAAAACCGAAGACTGCTCTGATACCAATTTTCTTTTGGGTGAGTTAGTGGTCTACCACTATTTTGAAATTAGGCTGAGAATTATTTAATTAATTCTACAGTTATGCTAATAAATCTTCAAGCTGTTGTATAGCTAGCTTTAAGGCTTCTTGTTTTATAGTTATCTGTCTATTTATTTGAGTGATTTTCAAATTATAATTTTCTAGAGATCTTATGGAAGCTAATGATAACAGAAATTGATATCTTAATTTTTAATCTTCTAATTCTTGTATAAGCTTAGTACTTGATCTGATTTTAATTCTAAATTCTTCTTCTAAATGCATAAAATTTTGATTTTAAAGTTCTTTTATGAAAAACATTTCCTTGATATTTCTATTCAAGTTGCTTTCCTTATATTCTAAAATTCTTTTTTTTTTGTAAAACTATTTTTAAGCAATGTTTGCTTTCATTACATGCACTCCCACCTTAAAGCTAAGCCTCGTTCAACATAATATATTTTTATTTTCTATTTCTTACTTTTCCTGTTCTGCTTACAATTTGCCCTTAAATGCCTAACCACGGCTCCCACGGGCTCTTTAGCTAAGGTCACTCAGTAATAAAATAGAAAACAATTAGATATTATGAAGGTTCAAAGCATGTAATATTAATGAGCAAGCAAGCATTCCATAAATTTTGTTTTTCCAATAAGAAAATCAATTTTTAGAACAGAAGGGTTGCCCTTTTGAAATATCTAAGGAAAAAAAGAGACTCCTCACACTTCATATTGATATGAAATATACTTACAAAGATTATATTACAGACTTTGAGATTCTGAAAGACTTTGGACACTTAGAATTTTTTGAGAATCGGAGAAGATTTTTACAAGGAAGAGTGGAGGAAAATTTTTCATTGCCTCTTCTGTTGGCATGAATGCCAATTTATACAATACAAAAGGAGGATAAAAACAAAACTCAAAACCTAGACTTAATGCCTTACGTTCCAACTTTTCCTAAAAGTCTAAGACCTATTTAAGCCTAGACATAGGCTTTTTCAAAACTTTCTTTAAGTAATAAAGACAAAGACTATGCATACAATTATATGCCTATTTTCACCAACTTTCTACGCAGATAAAACAAGTAAAGGGTTTGGATAATGATGTCGAGTACTGTTTTGGGCCCCATTGCACATTATTCAATCTTTCTTTTTAGATAAAATTTTGATACTATAATTTATTATAAGACACGTGTAAGGATTTTCACAGCTTTTCTTTATTGGAGCAGGGTAGGGGTCATTTGCTCTATTAAAGTAGTGAGTGAAGGAAAAGTCTTACTACTGACAGACGCAAATAATTACAGACATAAATATTTACAATAACTATTGTCGTTTTTTAGAGTGCTTTTCTCTGATTGTTGAAGAGAGGCTTTATTTTCTACAAATTGTCCTTTTTTTCTGAGATGCCAATAATTGATATAGACGCTTGGATAATGAATCTTCAAGGTGGATCCGTTGTAGAAGATTTACAAAATTTCAAAGAGTCCAAAATTTACAAAGAACTATAATACTTCAAAAGTATTATATGAGTCTAATTATGGACTGGCCTTATTCCTTGCCTAATGTAAGTCACGCCATAACCGTTTTTACGAATATGCATCCACCGTTGGCCAGTATTCCATGTGAGATGGGCTGGTAAGTTGGGTATTACAAAGGAAATCACAAATAAGTCACATAAGTAAGCTCAAATATAATTGAGGCCCGGCCCATCACGTGGCGTTTGAAGATGCAATTGTTTGATTTAAAAATTATTTTTACTTCAAAAAAGAAATAATAAAAAAAAATTTATAATGAAAAAAACTACATTTAATTCAATTTTAAGCATTAAAATTAGACACTAGTTGTGTTCACGTTTTCTGCTCATTAAAATATTTAAAATTTTGTCTCAATTAATTTTTTGAATACATATAATTTTCATCTTATATATATATATATTTCATGTAATTACAAGATATAGTAATAATTGTTTTTAAAAAAAAGGAGAAAAATAAAAATTTGAACCATTAATAAAAATTTCAAAGTAGCCCACCCAAATGGGGTGTTTTGTTATTTATTACTTTAATTTAAAAGTTATAAAGTTGTTAAGAAAATTAATAATTCATATTAAAAAGTAAAAATACATATTTTTTTATAAAAAATTAAAAAATTATTTTTAATATATTAATTCTTTTATTTTATATTTTAATTAAAAAATTAAAAAATTATTTCTAATATATTAATTCTTTTATTTTATATTTTAATTAAAAAATTATTAAAATAAAATTTTCGAAACCAGACGTTAGGTCTTGTTTGGAAACATGTTTTTTTTAATAATTTTTTAATTAAAATATGATATAAAAGATTAAGACGTTTGAGATAATTTTTTAGTTTTTTATGAAAAAAAATTGTGTAAAAGTAGAGAGAAAAGAGTATTTTTGAATTTTTGGTATAATTTTTTGACTTTTTAATTTTAGAATTAATATATTTAGATGATTTTTTAATTTTTTATGGGAAGAAGCGTAAAATATAAAAAAAAATGTATAAATTATTAATTTCTTAACTTTTTACTTTTGACTAAAAAACGAGGCCCAATACATACAAAAACCACGACAATGTTTTTCTTAATAGGTTTTGAGGTTGGAAAAGGAAAAACCAAAAAAGCGACAAGAAGGCTATTTTGTCTTTGAATTCGATCGTAACTCTTTCTCCGATCCAGAAACAGTAGTAGTTTCGCTCTTCCAACTCAGCTCTTTTCTCTCAGAATCCACTTTACCTGGAAAACAAAAGCCCCTTGGATTCTAGGGCAAAGTTTCCAACCAAACTCGATTCACTCCGATTCATCGTCGTCGGAAGCAGTAATTGCGGTGGAGCAATGTTCTTCAGCGGCGACTCGTCGGCTCGGAAGCGAGTCGATTTAGGAGGGCGTAGTTCCAAGGAAAGAGACCGTCAGAAGCTTCTTGAGCAGACTAGGTTAGAGAGGAACCGTCGCTTGTGGTTGCGACAGCAGAACTCCGCCGCAATCAAAATTCAGGTTTACATATATAGTTGTATACATATCATATATACAGAACTTTGATGCTTTATATAATCGATTATACACTGGTTATGTCATCCAAAGATGGATATAAGTCGTTTACATTGATTAGGTGACAGTTTTTTTTGGGGGGTGAGATGTTATTGAAATTAGGGCAATGCTGAATTTGACGCTTATTTTGTGATGAAAATTTTGTTTTTACTTTTGTTTTAATTGAAAATTGAAGTTCTTAATCGGGGCAAATGGTGTTGTTGGTGTTTATATTAATTTTGTTGGGAATGTATATATGAGGTGAATTTTAGTCATCGGAGACTGCAATTGAATGAATGACATGCATAGTTATTTTATTTTATTTGAATTAATGTTCTGATTATTGCATGAAACAAGGGATTTAATTTAACCCCTTTATTTTAGGATAATGATTACTATTTGTTTTATTAAAGCTATAGGTATTATGAACTGATGCGTATTTACAATTTAATGGCTTGTTTGGTGACATCATATTTGTGTACCATAATGTGTCGGCGAGTTTCTAAACAATAGGTGTGATGTAAATTAATAACTTCTGAACTTGTAAATTAATAACTTCTGAACTGGGAAACTATGGGCTTGTTTGGTTTGTATTTGAGAAATATGTTTTGAGATAAAAAGTACGAAAATTTGTTTGGTTTGGTTTTTTTTCGAAAGATGTTTTGAAAAATTATTTTGAGAGAGTTTTGGAAAAAGTGATTGATTTGATGTGTATGAGAGAGAGATTTGTTTGGAAAATTTGTAAACTAAACAAGTTTTGAAAAAAATTTTTGGAAAAATTTGTTTGGTTTGATTACTTTTGAAAACTTATTTGTAGAAAATTTTTTCCAAAATTTTTTGAGAAACACAAACCAAACAAGGCCTATGTTTTTGAGACACGTTGCCTCTGTCAACTTCCTACGCTTACTTGATATAGGATGCTGTGAAATGCCAAAAAATCTCATTTGTGCTGTGTCCAATTTATATAGAGGAAAAAAGGAACTAATTTGATAGAACCCATATGCTTCATTTATAAGTTGTTATAACCAAAACTGGTGAGGACTGAGGATACCAGCTGATGTGTGGGTCTTGGCACATGTAAAGGGCTAACATGAACAAAAGGTTTGAAAACATTATGGAGGGGAAATAATATAGCAAATTAGAGCATTAGCTGACAAGGCTTTATATGAGTCTGGTATTGGCAAGACCATGAGCTATTTTTGCCAAGTAAGATCACTATTCTTTGTGAGATTTTGAACTAAAATCAGATGATGTTTTATATTCTACTCAATTGGTTTAAATAGAACTTTCTCAAGATATTGTTTTATCTCCTAAATTTTGTGAAATTAAAAGATTTGGTTATGATATTTACAAATATTAATCAACAATTAGATTTGTTTGAAAATGAATATAGGGGCTACAACTTAACTTAACTAAGCTTGGCTCAACTTGCAAGCATATAATCACTTTTTTCAACCTAGGGTTGTGTTTGGGCAGGGAATCCCAACAAGAGGTTGGGCTAGGTTTTGCTTGGCTTTGCACGAGGCCCATGCATTCCATTCGAACTGGAACCCAATCTATTGTATGCATTTTATTTGCATCTTTAATCACTAAGTACGTTGAATAGATTTTAATCGCTTATGCTTTGAAACTTTCAACAGATTTTAATATTGGAAAAAATATTCTCGACGAAGAAGAATGATGGTAAATGCTCCATCTTTTACATAGAGACTTCAATGCAAGTTTTCAACTCATGCTTCACAATTTATTTTATCTTTCCTTCATTTAAGACCTTATTTTCTGAAAGTTGCTTCTAACTGGTGTTTGATTAATCATAATACATTATATTTTAATGGCCTATCGTTAGAAACTTTGAATAAATTTTAACGTTGAAAAAAATATTCTCAACGAAGAACGAAGGTGATAAATGTTCCTAACATCAAATGTTTCTTCTTATTATTTTTTTCACATAGTTTCTTCAATTTAGGTTTCACATGCTTTGCGATTTAATGTATTTTTCCTTTTATTATGACCATATTTTGCTCAAAGTTATTTGTCCACCATTGAAGTGACTTGTCCTTCACATTTTGAAGTGACATTGTTTAAGTGCGAATGTCAACTTTCCTCCAAAATTTGGAGACTACTTTATTGTCTTGTGAATCTTCTTCAGTAGGGATGGCAATCCAAGTCCGATTACTTGAGTACCTTCCTGCTCTTCCATCTAATGGGTGGGTTTAGGACTACATAAGCAAGCCTGACTGGGGTTCGGGGTGGGATCAATATAAGGGTTGCTTACCCCTCCATACCCTATTGTATTTCTAATTTATAAGAATGCGTATTTACTTTCAAATTTCAAAGCCATGTATTGGTTACCCTAGCACGCACATGACTCTAACTTTGTTGATGTTAGTTGCTTGTAAAGGCTAGCAAATACAACTCAGCTGTGGGGATCAAGAATAGGCATTTGCTCAATTTTTACGCAGTAACCTTTATTTATTTATTTATATTTATTCTGACTTAAAATATGGAGCTTTTACATTTGTTATTCTTTAGAGAAGCATTCTAGAAACTTGTTCATTTGTTTCTTGTGAGGTTTGGAAATTGACTACTTTCTACTTACAGAAATGCTTCAGAGGAAGAAAGGCAGTGGAAGCTGAACGTCTGAGGGTGAGAGAGCATTTCTTTATGACTTATGGGAAGCGTTGCCAAAATGTGGACAGGTAGTATTCTTGGATCCTCACCCTCAAGTTAGTACGTGGTTTTATTTCTCTATTTTTTTTTTTTTTTCTCTTTGTAATTGTGGTTTCTACTAATGTCCATATGGTAACTTGATTTGGTAATGTGCTTGCTCCAAATTGGATCTCCATTATCTTTTTGAATCCACCTGATCTTACAATTTTGTTTGATGTCTCTTTACATCCAGGCATTCTTTTGGGCTGGATTCTGATTTTCTCCGCCAGTTACTTTTCTTTTTTAATCCACAAAATGTTGCTGATTTCTCTGCTCTTGTGGAGACATGCCGATTACTTCAACAATTTGTCCGAGAAAGCGGTGTGTCTAATCAGTCTTCCTTCTTAATGAAACCACTTATTGTTATGTGTTGTGTGAACACATTTAACTTTCAGTATGGTCTACAACATACTTAAAAAAGGACTTTGTAGTCATTTCTCTCTCTCTCTCTCTCTCTCTCTCTCTCTCTCTCTCTCACGCGCGCGCGCGCACACACACACTCATTCACTCCCCCTCCCCTCAAAACTACAAAACTCCTAGACACTTGTGAATGCACATACACTTGCTCACACGCACATACACACACCCATCTTTCTCTGGCATTTACTGAACTTGCGGCAATAGTATGAGTTATATAATTTTTGGAATTTCATTTATTTTTCAGGTAATTCATTGTGCATGCTTCTTTATCTATTAACACTTATTACTGCCTGAAGTTTAATAGGAACCAATAGAAGTACTCATGTCATATTCATTGTTTACAGGAAGTTCATGTTGTTTTTCTGTAGCTTCTATAGGGTATGTTGCATTTTCCGTACCGTTGGCAGAGACAGCCTACTCTAGCAATCTGACTGATGTCAGGGAACCTTAATCTGCATTTTTCTAAAGACGTACTTTATATGCTCATTTAGTAAATCTTTTGATCAAACAGGCAAATGTGGTGTTCTGGAGTAGTGATGTGTGGTGTTACTGGTGTGTGTGCATGCCTTCACAATATGCATACTCACCCTGACATTTCTTACTTGGCCTTTCAGACCAAACTTGATGCTATGTGGAGGGGTTCATCCTTCTTAGTCCAACTGATTGATCTGAACAAATACAACTTCTACCTTTATTTAGTTGTTTCTAGGAGTTTTTGTATTCCTTGATTTTCTTAATAAGTTCAACAATTATTTTTACTTGAAATATTTCCGCTGCAGTTGCTACTTATACCATGCGGTAAAAGTTTATATACCTGTGCCATCTTCCTGAGTATATTCTGATATAATCATTCCAGGCTCAAGTTTTCTAGTGCTTCTGTGCAAGCTTTTTTCTTCTCCGCCCTCCCACATACGGTTTTGTTGGGGTTCATTCATTATTCTGCATTGTCTTCCTTGTCACTTGGTTGTGTATGCTTCATTTTGCTCTTTAGAAACTTGTTTGTAGTATTTACAGTTTTTAATCTTGCAGCAGGAGGTATTCTGAGCCTCTTTGCAGGCGTTGACTATTCTTCTAAGTACGCTGTAGTTGACTACAGAGTGAAACAACTTGCATATGCTTGTATTCGTGGTGTTCATCAAAATAGGTTTGTTACTTTCTCTCCTTCTGCTGAATGTTGGGTTGCCTTGAATTTGGCAATCATTTCCTGGTTTGTAATTCATTTGTGTTGTAAGCTAGTTGTATTGTACCTATTATGAGTGAGCAGGCTTGCAACTTTCTGATGAACTTTGTCATGTGTGCTGCATGCATTTTTTATTATTTTATTGCAATAATTAAGTCCACTTACATTTAAACAATGTTTAAACAATACTCACATATATGCATTAGGATTTGAAACAACAAATTTTTATTGAACTTAAGTGAACTTCAAAAAAGATAATTATGACCTGATTGACTTGTGAACCTTCTGACCGTTAATTATATTTTTGAATCAAACTAATCTAATTCATTGCATAAAACTTATATGAAGAAATCAAAAATGATTCAGGAACTCTCACACCTTGCTGCTTTAGTAGTGAGACTACAAGAATTATATTGCATTACTTTAGCTTGAACAATCAGTTGCTAAAGTAATCCTTTAGTAAACTTGAACTTTCTCCTGTTTATATATTAATACAAGTAATCTCTTTTTTGTATGATACCCAAAGCTTCACATTGGCATTTTACTCCTTGCCCAATTGGTTTCCTGATAAGCATTTGGTGCTGAACTGTGGTTGTAGACTTCCAACTTCTGTTTTTTTCTTTTGTTATCAGAAGAAATAGAAAGAGAAATCTCATATTTAAGCAGTTGATATCCATGACATTATGGTCACCCATTCCTCATTATGGATGATGGCAGTCATAAATTTGGGTGGTTTTGTGGTTCAATCTAAGTTGGATAACCTAACCTTGTTACTGATAAGGTTTAGCTCGGACTAGTTCTTTGATTTTGTTGTTTGTTGAAGCTTTGACCCCATTAAACTTGTAAGCATATTTCATTGTAAGGTTTGTTGCTTGTATACATTTTCAGTCAATTTTTTTTTATTGATTGGTAGAATTATACCTCTTTGCAAATAATCAGCTTGCTGAATCTTGTATCGATGTTCAATTTTTGTCAACATACGTAACTAAGTTTCTAATATTGAAACATGTTTAGCTATAGTTGATATAAAGCCATTAGAAATTGTTACTTTGATGACTTTGGTGTGGAACCATAAACTTATTGATGCAGTTTTTATGTTTTAGTTGCTTTGAAACAGAAACTTGCTTACTAGAGGTTTTTCTATTGGCAGAAATCAGTTGAAGGATCAACTGTTTATGACGTCTGATAAATCCAGTACATCAACAATCCTCTTGTTAGAGGCAGTCGTTATGTTGATTGATCCCGGACTTCCTTGGTCTTGTAAGATAGTTGGCTATCTCTTGCAAAGAAATACGTATTACTTGTTGAGAGAGATTGTTCTCACTGGAAAGGTACATTTCAAACCAACTGGCCCTTTATAATTTTTGGTTGTCTTCCATGATATATCATATATATCATACCTTTTTTTCTTTTTTTTTTTGAGTACATGCACTTACATTTAATCTTATTCTTAGAGTCTTAGGTTAACAATTTCTGCGGAAAAGTAATTGGGGCAAGCCATCATTAAGTTGTAGGCCTTTGTACTGTCAGGGGGTTCTCTTGAATGTTTGTAACTGGGAGAATTCCAAATGGCATAAATTATTCTAAAAAATTAATTAATGCAAGAACTGTGATCCCTAGGGCACTGTAATGTGGTTTTAATCCAGCATCGACATTGGGTGTTCTTTAAAGCACGTCTGTTGTTGAATCTTGTTTGCCATAGTTGGTATCTGACCTCCAAGACTTGGAGACATCATGAATTATCAGGATTTTGGTCTCGATTGTGAGAAACTGTCGGTATTTTTTTTTTTGTTTTTTGGGGATAGATATTAGATTATGTTAAAAAGGCATAAAAAAAAAGTGGGTGCAAAAGCATGTGATCACAAGGAGGTGGGACCTAATCAAGAATTCCCGTGAATAACCTCTAAAGAATCCCAACCATTGTCTTGCATCTTATACTCACTTGGTGATAATAGAGTGCTATAAAGAATCACACTGTATGGGACATCTCCATGATCATTTTTCAAGATAGGCAACCCTAATAATTTGCATGTGATGGACTACTTTGATGATGTGTTCTCAATTTTGCAGGAAAGTATAAAATTTCAAGATTCTGTTGGGAAAATATCTTCTCTGGAGAGTATCCTTGCCCTCATTATACCTCATGTTGGTCAGAGATCATGTGTTTGTGCTAATATTGATCCCCGATGGAGTTTCTCATCACAAATTCTTACAATTCCTTTCTTGTGGAAGCTTTTTCCATATCTAAAAGAGGTAGTTTGGTTTTCTCAGACCCCACACTGCAACATTATACTTTCATGTTTTAGATTTCACCAGGGTCTAGTGGGGCAGAATCTCTTCCAAAGTCAAGACACAAAACATTTAATATGTTCTCTTTCTCCTGTTAATTTTGTTGCCAAAAAGTTTTATTTCAAACATTTATTACCTTGTTATAAAAACTTTAAAATTTTCTTCCTTTATTTATCCAGATTTTTGCAACACGGGAGCTGAGTGTACATTATATTCATCAGATGGCATTATGTGTGCAAAATCATGCTAATGTTTTACCTAATGATATAGCAACTGAATTTCCGGGTTATGCCTGCCTTCTTGGCAATCTATTGGAAACAGCTGGAGTTGCTTTTTCTCAGCCTGACTGTTCATTTGATATGGTAAGGAAATGATGTGATTTCATAATGTACTGGTATTGTTTGTTTGCTCCTCCTTTAGACTCTTTGGATTTGTATTAATAACGAGTTTGGTGAAAAAGTTCACGTTTATTGCTGTTTTTTTTTTAGATGCCAAAATTCAACAAAGTTTTGTTCTCCCCTTGTTTTCTTTTCTTGATCAGGCCATAGACTTTGCAGCTGTTGCAACATTTTTGCTGGAGGCGCTTCCTCCTATGCAATCATCTAACAAAGAAAGTAAAGAAGGTATGCTTTTAACATAATATACTTTTCTCTTTTCCTCCTTGTTTTGTGTATTTTTAGGGTAATTTTTTTTATACTTAATTCTTTTATTTTCTTTTAATTAATTTGTGTGTATTATAGAACCCGATTAAACTATGCAGTTTTTCTCAATTGCTTATTAAATTGTATATTTATGTGCCCTTGGTACTTCTGATTACTTAGTGGACGAGGATGAAATAATTGTTGGTGATGAAATGATGGAAAAAGGTCTTAATAAGGATTTGGAACTACAGATTTCCAATGCAATAGACCCACGGTTTCTTCTACAATTGGTGCGTAATCCTGATGTCATACTTATTAGTCTCTGACATGACAATTATTTTGGTATTCTCAACATATTTACTGCCTTAACTATGTCTGTATTTTATGCCTCGTGAGCAGACAAATGTTTTGTTTGGAAGGATTTCATTTGTCAATGGTTCATATGAAGAAGGGGCTCATGGTAAAGAGGTGGTAGCTGTTGGTGCTGCTTGTGCTTTCTTGCATGTGACTTTTAACATTTTACCCCTTGAGCGTGTTATGACTGTACTAGCTTATAGAACAGAGCTTGTTCCTGTAATATGGAAATTCATGAAGCGATGCCATGAGAATCAGATGTGGTCAGCATTGTCTGGGCAATTATCATATCTGCCGGGAGATGCACCTGGCTGGCTGTTACCTTTGTCAGTTTTCTGCCCTGTGTACAAGTAAGAACGCTGCTTCTATGTTCAGTTTTGATCGTAATTTCTTTACAGTTGTCTGAATTAATTTGATGACAGTATGTGGTATGTCTGAGGTTTTGAACTTATGGCACAAGTTGAGGGAATAAGTCTAACGCACTTATTTGATGGATCAGGCACATGCTTATGATAGTTGATAATGAGGAGTTTTATGAGCAGGAGAAGCCACTGTCAATAAAAGATATCAAATGCTTAGTTGTTATCTTAAGACAGGTAATTTTTTTGTGGTTGTAGAATCTTCAGGTGAACATATACATAAAAATGACACTTGGCAGTATTTCATAGTTTTGTTCATGTAATAGAAGTTTTTGCTGTACATGTCATGTAAGATGGAAAGTCATATGGACATCCTTTAGCCAAATAGTCTCCACATGTGAGGAGGAAATGTTATTACTTGATATGGTGTATATATCATAGTATGCTCAGTGGCAATGTTATTACTTGATATGGTGTAGGATGGAAATCCAATTGCTATAATTGTAACATTTGTACTTGCTCATTTCTGTAGGCGCTATGGCAGCTCCTATGGGTGAATCCTGTCACCCCCCCCAACCCAGCCAAGTGTGCTGCTGACGTCTTGATGAAAATCATGTCCAACGCATGGGCACCCCTACTAGTTTTATTAATAATTGAGAAAAAATAAAAATGTTATATATATCATAGTATGCTTAGTGGCAATGTTATTACTTGATATGGTGTAGGATGGAAATCCAATTGCTATAATTGTAACATTTGTACTTGCTCATTTCTGTAGGCGCTATGGCAGCTCCTATGGGTGAATCCTGTCACCCCCCCCAACCCAGCCAAGTGTACTGCTGACGTCTTTACTCTTAAGAGGCACCCTTTAGAATTTATTCAGCATAGGGTTAGCATTGTAGCTTCTGACCTTCTGTCACAGGTATATATGATCTCATCATCCTGCTAATTGGTGCTTTGCTTTGCAGAGATAGACAGTATTGTTTGTTTAACGAAATGAAATTCTTCTATGCATATTCAAGATTGTGGGAGATAATATGCTTCATTGTTGTTCTTCTAATTTGTTGTATAAAACTACTATTCTAGTTGCAAGATTGGAACAACAGACGGCAATTTACAGCCCCTAGTGATTTCCATGCTGATGGCGTTAATGACCATTTTATTTCACAGGTAAATAGTGTTTCATAATATCGAGGTCTAGGAATTAGAATGTTTTGGCACTGTTGTTTTAACATGATATCAACTTTCTCCAGGCTATGATAGAAAATAGTAGAGCTCATGAAATACTGAAGCATGCTCCATTCTTGGTGCCATTTACAAGCAGAGTTAAAATATTTACTGTGAGTTGCTAACTCATTACAAGTTTGTTTTTATATCAATTCCTGCATGTCTTATTTAGTTATAAATAAGATATGCTGCTTGTCATCAACAGTTTTATTGTTTATATGTTTATTTGGCTTACTTTTCTGTAAGAAGAGCCTGTCAAATCATTAACTTTCTTTCTCACTCATTTGTTTATTTTGTGCTCTATTATTTTGAAATTTATCTACCAGTCACAGTTGGCGGCAGCAAGGCAAAGACATGGGCCGCATGCTGTTTTTACAAGAAACCGATTTAGAATACGAAGGGATCATATTTTGGAAGATGCTTTTAGTCAGTTGAGTGCATTATCCGAAGAGGATCTTCGAGGGCCGGTAATGTCTCAGTCTTTATTTTTTAATTTCTTTTGCTGAACTATGAAAGATATGCCCTGTCCTTGGACAGTCAAACAGACACATGTTCAAATTTTCTAGGGAAAGATTGAAAAAGATTGAAAGTTTTTTTTCTCTATATCAATATATGTCATTTTCTGATGAATGTTCCCAGATTCGCGTCACATTTGTGAATGGATTTGGAGTGGAGGAGGCTGGTATTGATGGAGGTGGGATTTTCAAAGATTTCATGGAGAACATTACTCGGGCAGCTTTCGATGTCCAGTATGGATTATTTAAGGTTGTAATTTGTATAATATTGTTGAGAATTATTCAATCTGCGCTCTCTCCTTCTCTCTCATATGTCTATGGTAAAGAAAAATGATCCGTAGGGTTATGCCTTTTGATCCTTTTTTGGTGTTGTTGCACTGTGTTATGGGAAAATCATTTGCTATTAAATCAATTTTTGATGATGAAGAGCTACGTCTATGCTTAGTGGTAGTTCACATGCAAGCAATCAAAACAATTGTTGTTTTTTTATTTATTGGCGAAAGTCAATGGTTAGTTGTTAGATTAACACTTAGAGCGCGTTAAACTCACACCCACTGCTTGCAAGAACTTAAGTCTTGCCTCCTAGTCCACTTTAAGGAGTGGAACCGAAGACCTCCCCTTAAGAGTGACTTGGTGGCCGAAGGGCTAGCCACACAAACTATAACCCCTTTGGTTTAGCAATCAAAACAATTGTTACTTGTAAGTTATAATGGCCCCATTTGGTGTAGCTATTAAAATAACTTATAGATTATAGCTTAACAGATTATAGATTATGACTTTAATCAGAAGTTGTTAATCTGTTTGGTGTAGCTGTTAGATTATAGATTTAAGTTGCTGAGTAGTGTTTGTTAAATAAGCTGTGAAATAGTTTTTTCAATTAATTTTTATTTTTTGTTTGTCTACATTTCTCATAAAAAATAATAATAATAATCTATAGTCCATTTGAGTCTTTTTCTATTTTTAAAAAAATAAAAAATAAAAAAATTTAAGAGTATAACCATAAATTAATATGTCCACAGCAGAAGCTGATAATCAGAAGTAAGGGGTGAGCAGCTTCTCAGAATCAGCTTTTTTGAGTTAAAATAAGCTGTTAGAATCAGAAGCTGTTTGAAATAAGTTTAACCAAACAGTTCAAAATAACTTTTTTAAAGCTAAAAGTCATAAGTTGGCTCTGAAAAGCTGAAACAAACACCCCCAATGACTGGCAATTTCCTTGGTAGATGCATTTTTCCTAGTAACCCCGCCCTTTTATGTGTACTACTTCTATGAAATATTACTCTTCCATATGAATTAAATTAGTCATAAAGCTCTTCTTAGGGTTTAGAGGGTGAATATTACCATATTTTGGTTGAACGTGGTCACTGTAGAGATTTGGTCTCGTACCCAACCAGTCCATACCTCCCAGCACCCTGCTTTGGCAGGGCCTACACTAGGCAATGCCTTTTATTTGTTTTTCTAATTTATTACATTGTCATATAATGTCATTAATTAACACTTGTTCTGAGCAAATGCTGTTGTTTTTACTTCTAGAGAATTGCTTTATCACTTGTTTTCTATACTTCTATATGTCCACTGAACTTTCCTAGCCGTATTCTTTTGTCTTCCTATGTTTTATTGAGTGGTCTTGGTCTGTTAATCCAGGAAACAGTGGATCACCTACTCTACCCCAATCCTGGATCAGGAATGATACATGAACAGCATCTCCAGTTTTTTCATTTTCTTGGAACTGTTCTTGCAAAGGTAAGAGTTGTGCCTTCATCTGTCACATACTCAGCATGTAATATCACACCAATTAAAGAAGAACTGCATTACATGTAAAGAACTAGTACACAAACTGGCATTACATTTAAAGAACTTCTATAATGGGCGAATTTTTTCTTTCAGCAATTACTAATACAATCTGGTTCAGCTATTATGTAATATATTGGCTGTGCTTGGTTTAGGGGTGGAATCATAATTCCACCCTCCTATTTCAGTGCTGTGTTTGGATATAGTTTTCAAAAATTGATTTCACACCCACGTTTGAAATTTTTTTTCAGAACATGTTTGGCAGAGTAGAGTTTTTGAATTTGAAAATTTGAAATTGGGTCTACCCGGATGTCTAGAACAGTGCTTATCTTTTTATTTATTTATTTATTTTTTGCAATTGCCGCCTGTTATTTGAAAAAGAAAAGAAAAGAAAAGAAAATATATTTGTTTTTGATATTTTTTAAATAGATAATTTTTTTTTAGACCAAATGACATTATTTGGCCATTTATTTAAAATTAACAAAAAAAAATTTAAATAAAAACTAATTTGTCACAGTAATTTTTTAAAAATAAAAAAACATTTTTAAACAAAACAAATAAAAAAAAATCTAATCAAATATACAATCAAAAGTAATTTTAAAGCACTAGCTGAATATTTTTTTTAACAAAAAATAATATATATTTTTTAATATTTAAAATAAAGAAATATTTTAGTAATTTTTTGAATTTTTTAAATAAAAAATTTATCTTTTTCAATAATTATTTTTTTGAATTGAATTTTAAAGAGTTTGGTTATGAGTTTTGATGAATTTTCTATAGAATTTTGAGTTGTGTGTTTGGTCATGAGTTATAAGTTTTTGAATTAAGTCTCATAACGGAACAACCTTTTTTATTTCAAAACTCATTTCAAAATTCAAAACTCAATTCAAAACTCATAACCAAACAAATTTTCTCTTTTCAAATCATGATTCAACTCACAAACTCAAAATACAACTCCATTCTTAAATCATGATTCTAAAACTAAACCAAACACTATCATTTTTTTGCTTTTATCGTCATATTGTTTTATATTTTCTTACTGATCACTTTTCAGATTCAGTAGGCCTTTTCCTTTATCCTACAATTTTCTTGCTGTCTTTTTGTTCTTCATTAATCACTTTTTTGCTTGGAATCTGTTCAATTAATTTACGTAGGAATTCTATTGTTAAAAATGACAGTTGAATTGTTCTCTGTGCTGTCTATATTTGTTCTCTTATGGTGCTTTACAGTGGGACATTATATCTCTTTGTAATTACTGCAGGCGATGTTTGAAGGGATTCTTGTTGATATACCATTTGCAACATTCTTCTTGAGCAAATTAAAGCAAAAGTAAGGTTGCACCCCATGTGGCATTCGTAATGTATATTGTTATTTATCAAAAACACAAGAATTTATTAAAAAGAATTTCTTGCAGATGATCAACTTTACATCACTTTTCTTTCTCTCTCCTCCACACTCTCACTCCCACTTCCACTCCCCTTCTAAAAATTGTGGAAAAAATCCGCACATGCTTTATATGTATCTGCATACACATTATGGTCCTATGGAAGTAGTTTTGAATTTCAAGACCATCTCTGCATATAAAAGATGAGTCTTTTTGGGTCCCAAATTGCCTCATAGTAGGTGTTATATTTTTTAGTTTTGAATTCTAGTTTTCAAATCTATTGATTGTGATATGTACTTTGGGCACTTGGAATGGCATTTATATTTCCATTTGCAATGTTCAACTTGAGTTCTTACTAAATATGATGTTTATTTGCTTATTTTCTTGATGTGTATGCTAATACGTGTTCTCTACTCTATTTAATTTTGATGCATCCAAAATTTTGTTGAGCAGGTACAATTATTTGAATGACTTACCTTCCCTGGATCCAGAGTTATATCGCCACCTTATTTTCTTAAAGGTGATATTTCTCCCCCTCCCTTGCTCTCTTCTTTGAGCATTAGTTTTTTAGTGAAATCTTATGCTTCATTGATTTGCAAAAATTGATGAAGCTAAGAAATGAATTGTTTGAACATTGTTATTGCCTATCCAACCAGAAGTTGTTATAACTGAATCTGTATATATTATCTTCTTGTCAGCCAAACAAATTTTATGACATCTTTGGATGTCCATGCAAAAGGGAAAGTTTCAGTTTTCGGTTACATTTTAAAAGGCAGGAAAATCTTCCGTAGAATAATCACTGAAGAAAATGAAGTGTACACAAATGGTAGGATAAAATTAGGATTATACTATTTTTTGAGGTCTAATGAGATTATAATCACCTTTTGTTGTTTTGTGGCTCAATTTCATGGCCAATCGGGTGGTTCTGTGTAATTTCATGTTATTTATTGATTTATTTATTTACCTTTTGTTTGATGTACAGCATTATGAAGGTGATACTTCAAAGTTGGAATTGTACTTTGTTATTGTGAACAATGAATATGGAGAGCAAACAGAAGAAGAGTTGCTTCCCGGAGGGAAAAGTATACGTGTTACTAATGAGAATGTCATTACATTTATTCATCTTATAGCCAACCATCGTTTGAATTCTCAGGTTGCAAGGGTTTTCCTCTTTCATTTATTAAGTTTGTTTTCAAATTTAATCATTTTCTCCTGTAATTATGATGTCGTAATATAATTTTCAGATACGCCAACAAAGTTCCCATTTTCTGAGGGGATTTCAACAGCTTATACAGAAAGATTGGATTGACATGTTTAATGAACATGAACTTCAGGTATTGCGATTCCTGTTGAATGATATTTAAGAACCACGTGGTGAAAGGATTACTGTGATTACTTCATTTAGTAGGGAGAGCTATGAGCCTCGTCAAAACATACAAACAAATAATATTTTGCTGTTGTATGTGGCCAATATGAAAAAAAATTGCAATATAATAAACATGAACTTGCAGACCAATTAATATTGTTATCCATTTAATGTTGCATCCAGCCACGTATGAGAACTTTAATTTGTTTTGTGGGGTCTCAGTTTCTAATTTGATTTTTTTTCCAGCTTCTGATATCTGGATCACTTGATGGTTTTGATGTTGAGGATCTTCGAGCCCATACTAATTATGCGGGTGGCTATCATAGTGTAAGTTACCTTACATTCTGTTTTGTTTATTTTTCATTCTCCCCACCCCTTTAGATCCCTGGCTCTGAATTGTCTATTTAGGAAACACAAGTCCTTGCAGTGCTCTTGGGTGGAGATTGTTGTAGAATTTTATTCATCAGCAGTTGTCAACTTGGTTTCTTCAAGATTCAATTTAGGGGTTTCTTCACAATTAAATCCACATCTCAGTGCCAGTTTTCCCCCAAAACTCATTTCATGCTTGGGCCAAGTATCCGCCAGCTGTGTTACATGGACTCGGCACTTTGGGGCGAAGACACGGGTACGGGTGTGGAATCTATGTCGGATTTGCCTGTTCTCTCTCAAACACGGCTCTTTACAGACAACAAAAGAAATGAAAGAGGTGAGAGCAAGAGAGAACTTGGTCGAAGCTCCATCCAGTCGAAGATCGAAGACCTCCAGTCGAAGCTCCATCCGGTCGATCCAGTCGAAGATCGAAGCTCCATCAGTCGATCGAACAGCCGAACGCCCTAGACGGCTTCGAAAAGCCTCTATCTCTCTCTCTTTCTCTCTCTCTCTCTCTCTCGCCTCCTCTCTCTCCCTCGCGATCGCGATCGCGATCGATGGCTTCGTTTTTCTCTCCCACTCTCTCTGTCGTTCCTCTGTCTCTTGATTCATATCTATTCGTATCTATCTATATATAATAATAATAATAATAGTTAAGGAACTGAATAATAAATAATAATAACTATTATTACAATAACTATAATAATCAGAATCTTACGATTCGCGATTCGATTCACGATTCGATTCACAATTTTTGCAAAATCGATACGAATCTATAAGTGAATCTCTTTTTTATCAAAATCTTACGATTCGCGATTCGATTCACGATTCGATTCAAATTTTTTGCAAAATCGATACGAATCTATGGGTGAATCTATTTTGGAAGTAAATCTCTAGTGAATCGCACGATTCACAATCGATTTACGATTCAATTCACTTTTTATGATTCATGTAATTTTTTAAATTATTGTGTCCGGCATATTTTCGACTATTTTTTTTTCCATTATTTATAAAAAAATTAAAAAATTTGCCGTGTCCCCTGCTGTATCCGTATTCCCATTTTTTAGAAATTGTCGTGTCCCGTGTTCGTGTTATAATAAATATATTTTTTAAAAAAAAAAAACTATTTGACGTATCCCGTACCAGTATCCAAATTTAGATACATATCCACGTATCCTTAATTTTTAATTTTGAAGTGTCCGACCCCTAGATACGTACCCGCACCCGATACCCGTACCGAGTCCGTGTAACATGGTCCGCCAGATACTTCACCTGTGCTATATACGTTCAATGTTTGCAATCTAGATGATCTTCTTTTTTCTTGTTCGTTCTGTTCTGTCTTTTTTGGAAAGAAAACTGTTTCCTCTGCTGGTTCTGTTACTAAATTGGAAATGAATAGCATGTAATTTATAGTGCAGGGTCTGGATTAAGACCTCTTAATCTTGCTACCTTAACAACTCATTTCTGGCTAACCTGTGGGATACTGCTCTGTGGGTTTTTAAAAAAAGTCTAAGGAATTCAAATTATGATCGGGATTAAGTTTTTTATTTATCTGTTTTTATGATGAAGTTTTTAGTTTCGCTACTTTGAGCTTTGGTATTTTTGTAGTTGACAGCTACTTATCATTTCTTTTGATAGGAGCACTATGTCATTGATATGCTTTGGGCGGTTCTCAAGAATTTTTCCATGGAAAATCAGATGAAATTTTTGAAGTAAGTTTATCATCTGTAATTTATTTCCTAAACTCTCTGATGTGTGGGTTATATATAATGTTATACTTGGTGCAACAGTTTCATAGCAGTCACAATGTATTCAGATATATTCTTAGTGTATATCCTTAGAACCAAATCCAATTTATACTCCTTTTATATGTTTGTTTTCTCAGCTTTGTATCTTTCTGTTAATTCTTCTTCTTCTTCTTCTTCTTTTTTTACAAGTATATTTATCTATGTGCTTTTCTTTGCGACTGATTCAATACCAAAAAAACAATTGGGATAAAACCTTTCTGAGTTGGTATGTTGACTTGAGTCTATTTCTGTGGAATTGCTAAGTTATTAGATTGACAGTACTTGATTTACATAAATAACTCTGAATGGTAAATTGGAGATGGAAATTGTTTTAAACTTGAAACTGTCTGTGGGAAAAGTGGTTAAGCACGTTTGTGGTGGTGATCAATGTCTACACTAGGAACTTGAATTTACTGAGGGGTTAGAAAATATATAGGTAATGGAAGTGGAAAACTTAGCCCAAGTGATTTTAAGCCTTTGTGTAAAGAGTATTTTTTCCCCCTTCTGTTAATTTTTTTTTTCTTTGTATTTATTAGCATTGTTTTCATGCTTTTCGATAATAATATTTGACTTTTCTTTATAAAAACATAAAGAAAAATCATTCATAGATTTTTGGGGGCTGTAGTCACGTAACATTTTGTTTATGGGAGACTCTCAACAAGAGGTTTTTTTTTTGGCATTGCCAGCTATCTTTAAAAATTTCATGCTTTTAGAGTTGAGATTTCAAGGTGCCCCTTAAAAAGTGTCCATTCTTTCATCGAATTGCTTACAGACTAGCAATACAATTCTTTTGATGCCTCAAGTAATTGACCCCAATGTCAATTTTTAGACCCAATTTCAGCCTCATTTCCTTTAGCCAATTGGTGTCTTAGTAAGTTCCAGTGTTTCCTGGAGGTTTGCCAAAATGAGAAACTCACATTTATGGGACCGTGGATGAAATGCTATGTATGGTGAATTTGTACAAGGGTATGCAGGGCATTTCATTATCTATATGTCAATTTCTAACTTTCTCTTCAAAAGAAATCCTTGTATCGTAATTTCCAGTATTTGTGATGCACCAGAAATACTAAATGTTTATTGTGTTGTTTTTTCAACTTGAATAGCACACACATAGATTTGTAGCTAGACTGAGGGCTCCTGCAGTTAATACCCTTCTTGGCCACGAAGCAGTAGTTGTATTCTTCAAAACTAATCATAAGGGCTCTGAGTACTTTGCTGACATGCTGAGTGTGTGCATCATCGTTGTGTTATTTTCGAACCAATTTTGAAATGTTTTAGCCAATTCTCTTTCATGTTGTATGACATTTTTGTAAAAAAAAAATAAATTATTCCACTGGACTTGAGGTGAATTGGTTCATGAATTTGCTCAAATAAAAGTTGAGCACTTTAAACATTTTGCCAACATACATGGCACTCTCCATGTAGTCATGTAGTTTATGTAGGTAGCTGTTAGGGCTTCAAGATCTTTTGGATAGAACGGTAACCAAATATCTTTGTTTTCTTTTCTGGTTCTGTGTTTTCTGTCTCAGGTTTGTAACTGGGTGCTCTCGAGGACCTTTGCTTGGATTTAAATACCTTGAGCCTTTGTTCTGCATACAGAGGTGATATCCCTTTTTTGTTTTGCTTTGTGAGTTTGTGTAATATTTTCGTGAGGTGATAGCCCTTTTTTTGTTTTGCTTCAGTTTCTGAGAATTTTATTTTTGAGTATTCTCTTAGGGCTGCTGGTAATGCTTCTGAAGAGGCTCTTGACCGATTACCAACATCAGCTACTTGTATGAATCTTCTAAAGCTTCCCCCGTACAGAAGGTTTGTCCCATTCTACTGTTTTTCTGTGCGACAAATCTTATTTTTGCTCCAAACTCTCTAATTATAACCAGAGGGAGGGAGGGTCTGCTGCTTCAATGAATTTTATTGATAGATTTAAGTTGCAAAATATGAAATGAGGGTTAGACAACCACACAAGGACTCAAACACAACGCCGCCCAATTAGTACACTTTAATGTGTGTTTGGAAGGGGAAAGATTGAGTGCACACCTAATCTTTTGGCATAATGCTCAAAGTGGTGGCTCCAAGACCTGAACCCATAACCTCAAGGTTATTAGGCTAAGTCTTAACTATTGAAGGACTCAAAAACAACGAAGCAATAATTGAAACTCCTGTAAACTATACATAGTATATGAATAGTTCATCGCCATTCAGCTCAATCTATATCCATGCCCTTCATTAAAATGAAGGTGCCATAATCAGGGGTGAGTGTGCACTAGGGCATACCGAAGTTGATCGAAGCAAAATTTTTGGGGATTCCTGCCGGTTGTGGGCTTCTTTTGTTTTCTGGTTATCATTCAATAGTCCAACCATGATGTATCTTGTTGAAGATAGAGGGTTGTAATTTTAATTAAAAACAGGATTTTCAATGGTCACTTTCTCTTTTTTATTCATTTCTTGTTTCCTCACTGCAGTCCAGGTGGTAGCCTTCAAACCCGAATAAGGGCCAATTAGAAGCAGCCCTACCACTTTCATGGGGTCGTGGCTCTTGTAAAATACTTGAAACAATTAGTTATTCTTGTCTCACTGAAAATTGTGATTGACCAAGAAATCTTTTCCACTTACCAAAAGGAAAAAAAAGAATAGGATCTGAAACTAGCTTAATTCTTATCTTTCTTGGTCTTTGGATGTTATGAGATCTCTCTTGTTCTGTTTACATATGCAACTTATTCTTTGTTTTTTTGAAAGATTTGTCCTGGTCCATTATGAGTTTTTCTTTTCTTTTCTTTTCTTTTTATACCATTGTAGCCGATCCCATTTGATGGGACTTAAAGCTTGGTTTGGTTCGGTTTGGTTACCATTGTTGACTCTCATCAAATCTTTGTCTATGGTACAGCAAAGAGCAAATGGAGCAGAAATTGTTGTATGCTATAAATGCTGATGCTGGTTTTGATTTGAGTTGATAGCTAGAGAGCGTGTCTTTTCCTGTGCTACATGTTATGCGCCAGGTTCGTTTGAAGAGAATCATTGTATCAACAGAGAAGGTACCCCATGTGATGGTCCGGTCAATACTAGCTGGTGTATGTTCAGAATCAGACCATCTCTGGACAACTGCAGAAGATTATCAAGACATAGGAGTGAAGGGTACATGGAACATATGTAGATATAATGCATAATGTACATATACATAGGTGGGTTCATCTTTGATATATATCTTCTTTCAGTTGTTAAATGCATGACCTCTGGCATGTGGGTATAGTCGGGGGTTATTGGTTGATAAACTGTAATTGAGTTCACACCTGTATTATTGTAAGTTTTTTTTTTTTTGAATTGAAAAAACTTGATTATTTATGCATATGAGGATGAAATGGGCTCTTGTAAGGGGGCTTTGGCTGCCGGAGTTGGTGGCCAGAGTGTGGTGGAGGGCTGTGGAGAGGTTGCCAGAGGCCACAGTGATGATCGTTGCCGGAGTATTAGGAAAATGGTACTTTGTTCATGCACCTGAAAAATGTATGAATAAATTCATTTTCGTTTTAGGAAATATAGCCCATGGTTTTGCTTTTCAAGCACTTCTCCAGTTGAACAGAAAAAAGAAAAAAATGGTCCCACAATTGCTCTTGTATAGTTTCTCACTATGGTGATCGTTATCAAGGATATACTTGTGGCATGTTTGTTTGTTTGTTTGTTTTCCGTCTGTAAAATGTATGTGTTTAAGGTTAAGGGTTTCACCTCCCTTCTCACGAAAAAGGTTTAAGGGCTCCATTGATTGTTCTCAGTCTAAGAAATGTTATATTTCTCTAATTTAAAAGTTTTAAATAAAGTTATAATGACTTGACAATGAAAAAAATAAATAAATAAATAAAACAAACCAGACAAAAACATCATATCATTATGGGGTCTACACACATTAGAGTTCACTAGAGCTTTCCCTTTAGAACTCTCAATCTTTTTTTGTTATGTTATTAATAGTAATGATAGAGAGTACTAGAGTTGGAGTTTTAATGTCAATTCTAGTGATGTGGTAATATATAAAAAAAATAAATATATATATAGTTAAAGCATCAAGTCATAAGATATGTTTATCTCTAGAGCTCTTCATTTAAAGGTTTAAAACATTTTTGTATTATTAAAAGAACTGATAAATTTCACTCGCATGATGATGTACACTGCTAATAAAACAAATGAAACTCAGTAAATGATCACATTGTATGAGTTTTTTTTTGTTGTTGAGTGACGTTAGGGACTCTAAATAATCTATTAAATTTTTTATCAAACCTCTCAAATTAAGGTAGAATTTACACACATGTGGATTTGTGTGGGTCATACATTCATGTGAGAAGTTTGGTAAAAAAATTAATAAATTATTTGAAATACATAACATTTTCCTTTGTTGTTTGTTTTTCATTTTTCTGTGTCTTTTGGCTGCTATCTTAAATAACGTTGAGGCCTAATCTTTTCAATTTCCATCACAGTTGCCAACTATTGGGGGTTACTTATTTAATAATTTTCCAAATAGAGATAGAATTCATCGCATAATGATGATCAATACTGACAACAATACAGATGAATTTCAATGAATGTTGTTCCCATTATGTCGGGCCGGCGTTTTGGCCCACCCCGACATTGCTTCTCTGTTTTCAGAGACTTCATTTAAAAATAAAATTTAGAAACATTTGAGATCCAACGTGAAGCAAAATTTCTGGATGCCATTATGTGAAAGATAGAGAACAAAATAAGAAGTCAAACTTTCTGGTAATAAGATCCATCCAAAAATATTTCAGTGCATCAAAAATTACGTCTCAACCATTAAAGTGACCAAAGTAATTTCTGTCTCAACTACCATCACATGAAACTTTACAGACCAAAGTAATTTCTGCCTCTATAATACAACTCTCTCTCTCTCTCTCTCCCCCAAACCCTCCTCTCTCCCCTCGCCGGAGAGAGAGTCACCGGAGAGATGGGTTTGATTTTCTGCCATATTGTGTAACCGCACTCTCAGGTAGCAATGGCCACCCCCTTTTTTTTTTTTTTTTTCTATTCTTTTGGAGGGAAAAAAAATAAGAGTAGGTGTTATCTTTTTACCAGGAACTGCAATGTGGAACACAGCGCCATTCTTATCTCTGCAGGTTTATGTTTCTTTCCTTCTTTCGTTTACTCAAATGGTTCTAAAAAAGCTCCACTTTGAACCAATGCAGAATGAAAGATTGGTAAGGAGGGAGAGAGAAAAGTGAGAGACTGGAAAGACAGATTTGTATAATCACTATCTGTTATTATGTTTGTGTGTTCATACAAGAGAATGAGTTCTCTCTCTTTATAGAGAGGAGAAGGAGACAATTGGAATACTGGAGCACCGAAAGCATACAAATATACATTAAAATAATACAAAGGCGTCTGTTAAAGCTGAAGGTGGTAGTGGGTCTGTCAAAGCTGAAGGTGGTAGTGGATGAGTTCTTTACAGCTACAAAGGTGAGCTCTCTTTACAGCCTACACATGCACTATAGTGTATAGTATATTATATGTTAACAGCCCCCCGCAAACTCAAGGAGGGTAGGCATCGACCAAGTTGAGTTTGAAAACAAGAGCACGGATGCGCCCAGGAGGATGAGCCTTGGTGAAAATATCAGCAAGTTGATCGGCAGAAGCAATGGGGAGAAGATGAACAGTACCACGTGTAATATGCTGTCGAATGAAATGACAACCAATCTCAATATGCTTGGTGCGATCATGAAAAACATCATTGTGAGCAATCTGAATGGCACTCTGATTGTCACAATAAAGAGAGGTAGCGCCAGAAGAGGAAACACCCATATCAGTGAGGAGCCAGCGAAGCCAGAGAAGTTCCTGAGTAGTATCAGCAAGAGCTCGGTATTCAGCTTCGGTGCTAGAACGGGCAGTGAGGGATTGTTTCTTGCTACGCCAAGTAAGAAGAGAATCCCCTAAGAAGAAACAAAATCCCGTGGTGGAGCGTCGATCCGTAGGATCCCCAGCCCAATCAGCATCAGAGAAGGCACGCAGTTCAAGAGATGAGGAAGCAGAGTAGTGAAGGCCATGGAACAGGGTGCCTTTGATGTATCGAAGGATGTGGAGTAGAGTAGTATAGTGGGGAGTGCGAGGAGCCGACATGTACTGACTAACAATGTGAACAGCATAGGCAATGTCAGGACGAGTCACTGTGAGATAGACAAGACTACCGACGAGCTGGCGATAAAGAGTAGCATCATTGAGGAGAGCCCCATCGAGAGGAGTAAGACGAATCTGAGGATCAACTGGAGTAGATGTAGTTTTGCAATCAGTAAGACCAGCACGAGCCAGAAGATCGGATGCATATTTGGCCTGAGATAAATAAGAGCCAGTGGAATCATGAGAGACTTCAAGGCCTAAAAAGTAGTTGAGAGTACCAAGGTCCTTCATCTTAAACTGACGGTGGAGAAAACGTTTGAGGTGGAGAATACCAGCTGCATCATTACCAGTGATAATCATATCATCCACATACAGAAGGAGAAGAGTGGTACCATGAGGAGTAGTCCGTATAAAAAGAGCAGAGTCATAGGAGCTAGAGGTGAACCCGAAGTCATGAATGGTAGAACTGAACTTAGCAAACCAGGTGCGGGGTGCTTGCTTGAGGCCATAGAGGGCACGCTGTAGTTTGCAAACCTTATGAGGAGGAAAAGTAGACCCAGGTGGAGGTTGCATGTAGACCTCCTCAAGAAGAGTACCATTAAGGAAGGCATTTTTGACATCCATTTGAAAAATCTCCCAGTGGCGAGCAGCAGCAACATCCAGTAAACTACGAACAGAGGTAAGCCGAGCAACAGGGGAGAAGGTTTCCTCATAATCAATCCCATATTCCTGGTTGAAACCCTTGGCAACAAGACGAGCTTTGTAGCGTTCAATAGAGCCATCAGAATGAGTCTTGATTTTGTAAACCCATTTGCAGCCAATCGCAGTTTTGCCAGGAGGAAGGTCAACAAGATCCCAAGTATGAGTTTTGTCCAAAGCCTGAAGTTCATCAGTCATAGCTTGCTGCCAAAGAGGATTAGTACAAGCCTCACGATAGGAGGTAGGTTCATAAGTAGAAAAGGCAGCAGACCCAACAATATAATCACGAAGGTGGATAGGAGGTTGAGTTACCCGGTGTGGTCGACCCGTAGGAGGATCGGTAGGAGGAAGAACCGGTGGAGAAGAAGGTGGTGCAGGGAGAGGTGGACCTTCAGGGAGAGCAGTCTGGTCGGGAGCAGGAGTGAGCGAGGGCATCTCAATGAAGGAGGGACCTGTATCAAAATCATCAGAGAAGAGATCGATGGAAGGATTAGTAAACAGTACATTAGTGGAAAGTGCAGGTAAGTGAAAGGAGGAAAGAGAGGAAAACATTTGGTGCTCCCAACAAATGACATGGCGGGAGATACGAAGACGTTTAGAGAGAGGGTCCCAACAGCGAAAACCTTTATGTTCAATTCCATACCCAAGAAAGCAACAAAGACGAGAACGCGGTTCAAGCTTGGTGCGTTCATGAGATTGAAGGAGAACAAAGCAGACAGAGCCAAAAACCCGAAGATTAGCATATGGAGGGGGAGTGCCATGTAGACGTTCAAAGGGAGTTTGATTATGGATGATAGGGGAAGGAGCACAATTGATAGTGTAGACAGCAGTGAGGGCAGCTTCCCCCCAAACGTTTTCAGGGCAGGAAGAAGAGAGAAGGAGAGCGCGAGTAGTGTCAAGAATATGCCTATGTTTCCGTTCAGCACGGCCATTTTGCTGGGACGTGCCAGCACAGGAACGATGAGGCAGTGTACCATGACTCTGAAGAAAAGAAAGGAAATCTGAATCCCGATATTCCATAGCATTGTCAGAATGATAAAGCAGGTTGTTTGGCAAGTTGACAGGGTATACAATCGAAAGTATCTGGAATTACATGACCCAATTGTCCACTAGAAACCAAAGACTTTAAGCGATTAATAGAAATATGCCCCAAGCGACAATGCCAAAGATAAAAAGGTGATAATGAGGAAGCAGATGCAGGTGCAGCGATCTGCGGAGAGTCAGGAACATGAAGGTGAATGAGCTCATAGAGACGTCCGTGCTTACGGCCGATCCCAATGGTCTGCCTCGTCTGAGGGTCCTGCACCAAACAATGAGTAGCAGAAAAGGTGACAGTTAGACCAAGTTCACATAATTGACCAATGGAGATAAGGTTTAGAGTGAGAGCAGGGATATGATAAACTTGAGGTAAAGTTAAGGAAGATGTGGAAACAGTACCAAGATGACGGACAGGCATGAGAGAACCATCAGCAGTTTGAATGGAGGGAATATGAGGAGATGAGGAGATGAAAGAAAATATAGTGGGACTGGAGGTCATATGATTACAACAGGCAGAATCAAAATACCAAGAAGAGTTACCTGGAATTACAGACAAAGCAGTAGGAGGAGGTGTACCAGAAGGGGAGAGAAGATGTTTGAACATGGCCTCGACATCCGTTGGAGAAAAGAGAGGGGTAGACGGAGCCGGAGACTTAGAAAAACCCTCAGCGGCAGCAGCAGTAGTGGCGGTGTGAGGAGACTGATTGCCAGAATGAGGTTGATTCCTGAAACGATGAAAGCTCCCCCGAGAAGAACCACCGCGAGAAGAGTGGCTGTTGGAGGATGAGCGGGATGGATGGCGAAAGCAATCCTGTTGCAGATGACCAGGACTAAGTTTGTTGCAATATCGGTAGGTTCTGACCGGGCAATTGACCAGGAGATGTGTGGAAGAAAGGCCCCGATTCTGACAGTAGAGGCAGGCAGTGGTCCGCTGGGTGAATGATGGCCGGTACGGGGGAGTGGCAAGAACAGAGTCCACATGATGAGTTTGGAGAGTACCAAGACGAGTCTCTTCTGATAGCAACTCAGAAATAGCTTGTTCCAGAGTGGGCAAGGGATGGCGATGAAGAAGAGAGGCACGTACGGGCTCAAAAGATGAAGTGAGAGCCATGAGAAAGTGCACCAACCTTTGCTGATTACGATAAGCAGTAAATAAAACAGTATCTTCTCGGTGAGGCCAAGTCGGTTCGGAAAGAGCAAGCTGGTCCCAAACGGAGTACATTTGAGAAAGGAAGTCATTGATGGACTGACTAGATTCTTGGCGCATCCGATGAAGTTGGCTCTGAAGTTGATATTGATGAGCAAAACCAGTAGTCTGGTATCGTTCTTGCAAAAAATCCCAGATGTCTTTTGCAGAAGTAGTGACAGAGTCAAGCTGAAAGCGACCAAATTGAAGACTGATAGAGGTAACAGAAGTATTTCGAAACCAGGTAATGATTTGGTAATTCTTACTGTCCCATTCCTCAAGGCGATCTTCATATGTGGGAGTAGCAGGAGAAACAGTGGTTTCAGCAGTGTCTTTGACCGGTTGGGTCATGTCCCCGGTGATAATTCGCCAGAGCTTCTTTCCTTTGAGGAAGGAAGACATGGCTTGGGCCCATAGAACATAGTTGGAACCATCCAAAATAACAGAAATGGGATGGGAGGCATCAGGACGATCCATAATAATAGTGGAGTAGGGCTAAATAGATAGGGATAGACCTGTAGGAGCAAAATTAGGTAAAACAGAGTGTACCAGTGAGTCCGGAAGGTCGAAAATAGCTAGGAAAGGTGGGCTGTGTAGAGATGATGCCAGTAGGATGGAAAATGATGTCAGCGGCGCACGTTAGCAGGGAAAGCGTGCGGCGCACGGTAGCAGAGGGGGTTGGCGACGTATGGTAGCAGAATGGCGCACGCGCGGTTCACGGTAGACGAACGGCGCACGCGGGTGCCCGGTAGCAAGCGCGGCGCACGACAGGGCAGGGTGGAAAGCGCGTGGCAGCGCGTGTGAGCGTGGCAACGGAAGTAGAGACGCGCCGAGCAAAGGAGCGGCGCGTGAGAGCGCGTGAGAGCTTTTCTGGTGATGGGTTTGGTGCCGTTGGAATCGTAAGGAGATTCTGAGCTGTTTGGTGTATTCCACTGTGTACGGGACTAAGCACCAAAATTGAGAGATGCTAGAATTGTATTTCTGGGCTCTGATACCATGAAAGATTGGTAAGGAGGGAGAGAGAAAAGAGAGAGACTGGAAAGACAGATTTGTATAATCACTATCTGTTATTATGTTTGTGTGTTCATACAAGAGAATGAGTTCTCTCTCTTTATAGAGAGGAAAAGGAGACAATTGGAATACTGGAGCACCGAAAGCATACAAATATACATTAAAATAATACAAAGGCGTCTGTCAAAGCTGAAGGTGGTAGTGGGTCTGTCAAAGCTGAAGGTGGTAGTGGATGAGTTCTTTACAGCTACAAAGGTGAGCTCTCTTTACAGCCTACACATGCACTATAGTGTATAGTATATTATATGTTAACACAGAAAAAGAGTGACATTGGACTTCTGTCTTCGAACTTTTATTTGACCTCAATGAATTGAATCTTCATCTTCTTCTCCTGTATCCCCCATATCAAACCATACTTGTAATGATATGTTTTGTTTAGCCACTAATGTAGCAACTTTATGCCAGTTTTGATTAATATTTGATGCTTATCATTCTTCATTTCTGTCTATCACATGTAAAATTCTTATTGTCAATAAAATAAAAAATTAAAAAATAAAACTGTTTAATAATAATAATAATAATGTAAGTAAATTTTACGAATTTGTCTGCTTAATTTTTCCCCCACCCCTTGTATCTTCATGATTCTGCAGCACATTTCTTTTCCTTTCTTTAGGTGTTGAAAATTATTTTTGTATTACAAGGAGTAACTGTTTTGTGTTTGTGTTTATGAATATGATAAATAACCGTAAAAATGACTTAGATTTTATAGGGGTGAAAGGAAATAATTTTATGGCCAAAGATTGACTGCTCAAAACACAAGGACTCAATTTCGAGTAGGTCTCAAAATTGGTCGGATAAATCGATCTTTTAGTGATGTCGATTTGTGAGTTTTTGGGGAGTTATATATGCCAACAAGTTGATTTACTTTTACCGGAATTCCAAGTCGAAGGAAATGATTACCTCATTTTCGGAGGCGCACTAGCCATCTTCCAAAAATACATGCTTAGGTTAGCCAGTTTTTTTTATCAGTTTAAAAAATCTATAATCTCTGCACATTTAAGAGATCATCCCCTTTTGGAATGGTGGTTTTGCATTCCACTTGTCAGAGTTCTCTTCTTTCCTTGGAGACTCCGATTTCACACCACCAATTTTTTACTTGGGTCTGTGTGCCCCTCAGGGCTTATGCTCAGAAAGTTATAAGAGCATCCCTAATGTTTTGTCAAAATTTTTATTAAATTTGAATAAAAATTTGATAAAAAATTTGGTTTGATAATATACTTTAATAGTTTTATCAAATTTAGTTAGTCATCCGGCCTAGAATAAATATTCATCCAAAAATCGGTTATTTAGGAGGTTGTTTACCCAATTGTTCACCAATGATTACTTACAAATTTTTATGAAAGGATAAACGCTCCTTCTATTTGTTAAAAAAAATATTGCTCCCTTCATTTGATACCAATATAATAAAACGATTGGAGTATCATTTTCATTAATTTTTATCAAATTTAAATTTAATAAAAGATCTAATACAATATCAAAGATGACTTTTATGAATCTCTCAGTAAGTTGGTCGTTTTGAAATTTCACACCCGGTACAGTATTCTTTGACAAGTACAATAACAACAGTTTGAGCGTCATCTATGACATTAATTTACCAAAAGTTCTTGTATTAGACGTATCAAGATCCTCTAGAGTTTGGTTTCCTAAAGTGATCCCTAAAGTGGGGTTATCCAACGGTTCCAAATGAAACTAGGACGTCGTTTTGATTAGTAATTTCAAAAAAAAAAAAAAAAATATTGCTTTAATTCAAAATTCCTTCCTGCAGATCTGATATGAAGCAAAACGACGGGGAAGAGAGAGAGAGAACCTTCTCTCTCAGCCGCCTCATGATCTCCAACCCCAGCAACATCTCCAGCCTCACAACCCCTCTCCTCCCCTCCCAACCCCTCTTTATCCCCCTAACTTGTTCCTGCAATACCATCAACACCACCACAAGTTTTTCCTATGCAAATCTCACTTGGGTTGGGGGTTTGTGGGATTTTGCTGGTTTTGGTTTGTGGGTTGTCTGGTTACAGAGAAAATACATGGAAGAAGAGGAAAGGGATGGTGGAGAAAGGTGGAGAGGGAGAGAAAATGGTTAGGGGAGGAAAGGCTTTGGATGTGAAATTTGTGGCTGATATGTCAGATTGTTTGGATAAGTATAAAGTGTTTGGGATTGAAGAACTGAGACAAGCAACTGATGGATTTGATGAGAGGTGGGTGATTCAAGGGTCTGTGTATAAAGGTTGTATTGATGGAGTGATCTATGCTATTAAGAAGATGAAGTGGAATGCTTGTGAAGAACTCAAGATCTTGCAAAAGGTAAACATCAAAAAAAAATTTCATCTTTGCCCCTTGTGTTGAATTAAAGCAAATTTTGAGTTAAAGCAAATTTTTTTGGTTAGAAAGCATCTGATTTTACGGTAAGATAGTTTTTGGTTAGAAATAAGTGGTTGTCATAAGATATATCATGTAATTTTGATCTAATTTAATTTATTACCTTATAAGCATTTGGTTTTTCCCTTGTAAACAATCATATGTATAACAAATACTTTTAGTGTTTTGCAATGCTAATAAATTTGATATTAGCATTACAGAACAAAACAAATAAAAGAAAATGTTATAGGTCTCAAATTTTTTATTGGTAAACCTTACACTCATTTGAGACATTTGATCATTTATTTAGTAAAAAATTTGATATTCCTAACATTACCCAAAACTTAAACGAGATAAAAAGAACAACATGTGAATGCAGTATGGGACCCACAATACAACCTATAGAAGTTTTAGAGACCAAATTTTTTAGTCTCTAAAAGTGAAAATTTTGTTGCAAAAGACATTTATGGATCAGTTTCTATCGTCGTGAAGATAGTCGCTAAAATGTCGTCTTAAAAAGTCAAAAACAAGGCTTTTAATGACAAAATTTTGAAAATGTTACTAATAAATATACTTTTGGGACAAAATAATTTTGTCTCATAATGGTTTATTTTTTGAGACAAAAAATTTGATCTCAAAAAGATAATAATTCATCACTAATGTTTAATTTTTGTCGCTAAAAATATAATAACACTTTTCGCAATAAAAATATTTAATCCCTAAAAAATAATTTTGTCTCTAAAATCTTAATTTTTTTTATAGTGTCACCTCGGTGACATGTTCAGTCGATTGAATTGGTGATTTAATTATGTGAGAGTAACATCAAGAGTGGTAATTGAGCTTAGGAATTGTAATTAGTGAAAAAAAAAAAAAGATTCATATTTTTGTGTTGAATGATTGAAAAATATAAGAAAATACAATATATGATGATTAATGAAAAATTATAAATTCATAACATTTCATAAATATTAAAAAAAAAATCGCAACATTACTATTTGATAATGGGTTGCCCAAGGAGAGAATGTAAATAAAGATGTCAAAGGTATGTTTGGGAACCTATTAAAACACCGTATGTTGTAGCAGGCAACCTGGCACCCACTCTTTGCTACTTCAGTGAAATATACAGTGGGGATTAGGGCTTGTTTAATAATTATTTCGTTTTTAGTTTTTAATTTATATTTATAAAAATTTAAAAAATTATAATAAAAATTTGTTTGATAATTTTTTTAATTTATAAATGGTTGTCTTAATTTATAAATTTTTTGTTTGTAAATTTGAAGAAAAAACGTAAACTCAAAAAATGAGTTTACGTTAGCTTTTAAATAGAAATTTAAAATTTTGACTAACAAATTTTTTTTTTAATTAATTTTTAAAATATTTTTTTCAATTAATTTTTTTTTCCAATTATAATGTGTATAATTTCATTGTCATAAATAATAAAAAATAAATAAAAATATTTTAAGCTTAAATATACATATTTTTTAGTTTATGTTTTTAAAAATTTTCAAATATTTTATTCAAACCAAACGATTTTGTAGTTTATGTTTTTCTAGAAATAAACAAAAACTAATTTATAAAATTTTTATAAACATAAATGAAAAACGTAAACGTTACTAAACGCTACTTTAACAATTGGGTTTACTCTGTTGCTTTTCTTTTTTATTTTATTGGGTTTTCTGGCTTAAACAATCACCATAAAAATTTATGGGTTTTACTAATAAATATTCTTAGGACATAAATAAAGGATAAAAAATCATAAGATATTTTTCGCTAAATTTAATACATCTTTACTAAAATTAATACACTTCTTAATATTTTAATACATTTCCAGAGACTTTTTATATGGTTCTCAATATTAAACAATGCTCATGAGATATTTGTTAGCATTTATCAAAATTTATTTGCCCCGATATATGTTTGTTAGGTTTTTGTAATTGGCAATCATGTTTAACAAAATTTCTTTCAGTTGTAATTTTATTCGTTCTTTTGTTTCAGTAAGACTGAGTGTTTAGATATGAATTCAACTTGAATTGAAATCTTAATTGTTTTATATTTGTCACTTCACTGACTATGTACGGGAATTGAACTACTTGGTTAACATAAAATTAGAATCATATTAACATAAAAGTTTTGTATGTATATATTTAAACTACACGCATGAATCATCAAGTGTAAATTTTATTTGATAGACTATGTTTAGATTGAAAAGACACTAACACAAATGAAATACAATTTGCATACCTTATGATTTTACGTAGAGAGACGGAGAGAAAATCTTTGAGTTTCGTTTAAAGGAACTCCTTTTCATGATCAAAAAACCACAAATGAAATGACTGTAATTTTTTAACTCCTACAAATCATAAATTTAAATTATATAATTTCATAATTTTGTATAAAACTATGAATACACAATACTTCAACCAATATAACTTAATGGGTAAATTACACTGACCTCCCCTAAGGTTTACCTTAATTACAGAGACCTCTCCTACAGTTTCAAAAATTACGCATATCTCCCTTACTTTTGAAACTAATATACAGATATCCCCCTTCTATTACCTACCCGTCCAAATTCAAACAGCTTTGGCTGATGTCATCTAAAATTATTGTTCAAATTCCAACATTGCCCTTACGTCCCCCATACATATATATATATATATATGCCCATATATATAAAAACATACATATCTTTTATATATATATATATATCACTGTACTCACTTACTCACTCTCTCTCTCTCTCTCTCTTCTCACTCTCTCTCTGTGCTTTACCTCTCTCCTCCCGTCGTCCTCCGTTGCCCCAACGCCTCCCTTTCCAAAACCTCCGCCCAATGCCGCCACCACCATACCAAACTCCTATCTTTCTCTTTCTTTCTTTCTTTCTTTCTTTCTCTCTCTCTCTCTCTCTCTCTCAGCTCATCCATCTCCTCATCCACTACAAAAAACCCTAGATCTGAGGAGCTTGGTATCACGGTGGTTGCGATCTCATGGCGAGGGTTGCAGTGATGGCAGATCGCGATGATAATCATGGTGATTAGAATGGTTGCAGAAAGAGTGAGAGAGAAAAAGAGAGATCGCAATGGTGGTTGAATGCAGTGGTGGCAATACGATAAGGAGAAAATGTGAAGCATAAGAAGGCGAGAGGGCGGCGGAGTTCTCGACTAGATTACGAACATATCTCATGTCAACTGGAACTTCAATCTCAATTTGTTATGGTCTTGAACCTTTGCTCTTGATTTGACTTGTGTTGGACATGTTCTTGCCAAGCATAGAACAATTGTGATTGAGTAAACACACACACACACATAGAGAGAGAGAGAGAGAGAGAGAGAGAGAGAGAGCGCCATGGATTCGATCATTGGCGGAGGCGATGAAATAATTGTGGGATGTATTCTCTCAATCAAAACCACACTCGGAGATGAACTTGAATTATCTATGTATGCATTGCCAATTTGGGAAGAGAGTGTGTGTTTGATCGGGTTATTTGTGTTTGATTGAGAGTATGTGTGCCGAATTATCTGTGTTTGATCAATTGTCAAAATAACAATGTGTTTCTTGAACCCTTGATTCCTTGCTTAAACCCTCGAATCACTTTACATATGTGTGTGTTTGATCGGGTTATTGTTGGTTTGGGTTTTGGGTTTTTGATTAGAGAGGTTTGGGAAGAGAGTGTGAGGACGACAATGGCAGAAATGGGTAATAGAAGGAGGAAGATACTGATGATACAGAGTGGGTTAGGTCTTTAGGGAAGACAATGGGTTGAAGGGTATTATGGTCAATTTCACTGTCAAGTTAACATTGTTAATGCTCTTTTGACACGAGGGAAGTCTTTGTATATTAGTTTCAAATGTAAGGGAGGTCAGTGTAAGTTTTGAAACTACAGAGGAGGTCCTTGTAATTAAGGCAAACCTCAAGAGAGGTCAGTGTAATTTACCCTAACTGAATAAATATATTGAGAATGTATAGAGAACGAGAAATGACCAATAAAGTTTCTTGTGAGAATGAGAGATCTGAATATCTATGAATATTTTTGTGTTTGATAACTATTTTAAAAAGTATTTAGGGAAGGAATTTAATTTGAAAATTATGTGCATGATGAGAAGATATGTAAATTTTGAAATGAATTAGTTTTACTTTAATTTTAAAACTCATAAATCATGGAATAATTAGAATTTTACTTTTTATAATTTAATGAAAGCTAGCGATAAATTTTTTTAATTGTTTAAAAATTAGAAATTGAAGAAAATCTAAAAAGGTATGCATGGTGGGAATTTATTTTGGAAATAAATATGTGTGCATGAGAAGAGATGTAATTTTGAAATGAATTAATATACTTTCCTTTTAAAATTAAAAAATTATGGAATAATTAGAGTTTTCCTTTTTATAGTTTAATGAAGCTAGCCAATTGAATTTTTTTTTAATTGCTTAAAAATTAGAAATTCAAGAAAATTAGGATGAGATTTTTGAGCTCACAAGGTTCTCTTGGTTAAAAACCCCATTTTCTTAGTGTATATATATATATATGACAAAGAATTTAACAGTCTATCAAAAGTTGAAGTTACTGAAAAAGGGTCAACTTATTACGCTATGCAAGTTTACAATTTTACACTTGAAAGGACAAAACATACCGCTGATTACATGCACATTTTTTTTTATAAACAACATTAACATGAGTAATTAATTGGACCAAGTTGATAAAATATCACAAATTTAAGGTGAAAATCAAGCCAAATTAAAATATAGAAAAAAATATAAAAAGGGCCAAACATAATTTCCCCTTAATTTTTTTTTATATAATTTAGATTGAGAATGGAACACAGCACTTAAATAGCATTTTTATTGATCACAATAAGAAATTATGTGATTTCTTTTTGTAATCAAGATTTCACATAACAAGATGATAAAACTATTTTATCCACCTCCCAAAAGGCCACTAATAATAGAAATGATATTGCGACAGTCTTCCATCTTGATATTTGCTTGATGAAGCTGGGATGGTTCAGGTTGAGCTGGTCGTGTATTAAAGTTAGTATCACAATCAGCAGGTCCGTCGAAAGCATTCGAGGATTTAATCCTCATGGTAGCAAAATCACTGGAATTGAATGCTTTATTAGATTCATTAAGGTCGCTCTTGACATAGCGTCCTTTCAATTCAGGCTTGGTTGCTTGTTTGGAAAGCGAGGCAATGAGGTTGGGGTTCTGTTGAGCATTGGTTTGTGCATTGTTGAATGAGATTTGGCTGAGGGCTTTAAGGTCTCCACTGGAAGAGAGAGGAAAACTCTGTTGGCAAAATTGAGAATTTCGAGTTTTCTCACAAATTCGAGTGATATCCAATCAGTTGTTCCGTCCGTGTTTGGCGACCTTGCAGCAGTTGAAACGCTAATAAATAGAAGAAACACTAGCAAATGATAGACCAGCAAGGAGCTACAAAAAGAAGAATAACCCATACCTATTTTCTTTTCACTTCAAAGAACTTTGTTTTCGCTTTTATGTAATTTGCTCTACAAAACTTATGGAGTACAAAGCCCACAATTACACACTTGTATAGTTCTTCAGGAACAAAATATAAGGCAAGTTACTCACCCAAGAAAATATAAGGTAAGGAGATAATTGTAATAGAATAAGTCTATTGTGTCAGACTTATTCACCCAGATTTTTTTCGATGGGTAGTTACGTTGTGGAGATTAAATTTGTGTAATGTGAGATTCATATGTAAAATAAATTTGAAACACAAATGATAATTCTGAATAATTTCTGAGTATTAAGTTTGGATTTATAATATTATTCATTGTAATAACTTGTGGATTTACTCCTAATATTTTTTTAATTAATTACAAGTTACCAAAAATATTGCCCAACTTAATTTGGTAACAAATATGTAACAATGTGCAATTTATCTGCCCTATATACAGGAATTCATTTTCGAGAAGAAAAAAAAAAGAAGAAAAAAATAGACACCATTTTTGACTTTAAATATGTTCATCTTAATTTTTTTATTTATTTTAAACAATGATATTTAATCTTCATTTTAAATCACTCATCTTTATTTTAACCTCTCAAAAAGGGAGTGTGAATATAATTTGTCTTCTTCTTCTTCTTCTTTTTTGTTTTTTTTTTTTTTAAATGCTAATTGTTGGTAAAAATTTGGTTTAAACCCAATCGAGAGTGATTGATTGAAAGACTTAAATAAATTTTAAATAAATACAAATAAAAATCAGGTTTTATGGTTGAGTTTTATGCCTTAAACAGATTAAAGACTTTCCTGAATGCTATCAAGCAAAGAAGAAATGGAATAAAACAGAAAAGAATATACATTATATTCAAATAAATTGTCACTTGTTATAAGCTGCCTAAACTAAAACAAGAACAAAGAATTGAAAAAAAAGAAAAAGAAAAAAGAAGCAATTGATAGAAGGGAAGAATAGGGGGTTGGAAAAAGCTATCGCTAATCTACTCCTAACAGAATTAATCTACTCCTAAATAGCTGTCACACTTTGTGAGTTGTTGTGGATGTTTGATGATTTCTTTTTCATTTCTCAAGTCTTCCTTTTATACTTGCTTAGCCATCTCATGTTATAACCATCAATCCATGATCTTCCTTGATCTTTGATCCATGCAATCATATTCCATCTTCATAAGAATTACTTGTAGATTTTGTACTTTGACATGGTAATGATCCCCCGATTTTAGCATATGGTTTCTAATTAATTTTAACATATATCTTTACTGATTTTTATTTAATCTTTTCAAACCACATCATCATCTCTTTCATGTCACGTTACTAGCATACTTGTCACACCATATTAACATATTTGTCGATAGGAATAATAATAATAATAATAAAAAATAATATGGCCAAAGTTATTCTTACAAAATAGTCTATTATTTTAATTGACAGACTATAATCGATCTTGGCCATAATCAATAGTCCATAATCAACAAAAAAATAAAATGTGATGTCAACATTAATACGTTAGATGATTAATGATTATAACACTTTCAATTTTTTTGTCTTTTATTCTTTCTTTAGGATTGAAGTCATCGGAAATACTTCGAACTTTATAAAAATAAACTATAAAAATCAAAATTAAAATAATATTTGAACATGTTGTTTGGTAAGACTAAAAGTTATAAGTTTCATTGTTATTTTTTAGATATTTTAAATCTACATGTTTAATAATTAAAATTTTCATTATTATCTGGATACTTTTTCCATATGGTAAAAAAAGTAGTCCTATACAAACAAAAATTGTTATTGTCATAATCTAAATCTTTGTTATTGTCATAGCATTTTGAAATTAAATTCTATATAAAAAATTATAGTAATCTATCATTTTTCCTGTAGAAATATGATGTTAGTTTGAGTCTAAATATATAAAAATCTAATAAACATCTAATACACAGCTAATGCACAGCTAATGCACACACTCTTTAAAAAACAAGTACATAATATAAACACCTCAATATGTGCCATGTATTTGCTACACAACCATCAAACACAACTATAAACTATTAACCAAACGATTCTAATTTAATTAATTGTGATGAGAATTTGGGTGGGAGGGACCTTTGCAATTAGCAAGGGAAAGAATTCCCCGGATCCGCCGCCGCCTCTGTAATTCTATTACAAGAGAGAATAAGGGTCTTTGGAAAAATTGTAAATTAGTGGTCTATTCACAAAATATTTATAAATTTATTTATTAAAATTGATTAAATTTATTACTTATTTGTCATTCAAAAGAAAAAAATACATTGAAGTGTAATTTTCTTATGATTTTATCCAGTTAATTCGGTAGGTTCCACCACTATGAATTCCACTTTTAAATAAAATTAACTTTATTTTTTACAAAAATACTAGAGATCTTAAATATCCTACCAAAGACGAGTATGGGTCCTACATGAATATAGATTCCACGCCCAAACGAGTGTTTAGTAATTTCTTTTTTGTTGAAAGTTTGGAGTCTCTATTATGGTTGTGAGACCATGAAATATCCTCTCACATGGATTGTAGAGATCTAATGAAGAGATGAACTTTGTCCTTATATATCTGCAAAGATGAGCATGATCAGCACCACCCAACCAGGATTGTCGGTCGGAGACACTCCGATGGTAATGTTAGTCATTTGATTGAAAGAATTAATGTATAAAAATGAAGAGTGTTTGTGTGCTGTGTGGAGTAGAGAGAGATTCTCCTTACATTCCATGAGGTGTCTTTCTTTTATAGATAGAGAGTGGGCCGAGTAAGCCCAACAGTTTGGGCCCATTGGTAGGCCTTATTTAGGTTAGCCCAATAAGCTGATATATATATATATATATATATTTTCTGGCACCCACAATTGCTCTAAAACTTTCATTGTCATTGGTAAAAGGAATAAGAGTTTTTGTCGCCGAGTTATCTGTTCAGATAGATGTTAGGTATCGTGACAAATAATACATTTGAAAATGAGTAACATGAATGAATGAATAATTGGATGAATGCATGTATGTATGGATGAATGTACAAATATATATATAACTATATGTATCTAATGGAGAGGAGTGAGTTCCAAACAAACTATATCATAAGTGAGTCTACATTAGATATTTCTATAACGATGGGCCACGGTATTATAACTCCCGGGCGAGGGTGTAGGCCACGGTATTATAACCCTCAGGCGAGGGTATAGTGCATTGCTGTAAAGGCAAATATGCAAAGAACTGCATGCAAATAATGTAGATATATCGGCCACAAAAAAGTGAAAAGCTGTAAAAGTTATAAAAATGACGGCATGCAAAAATATACGAAGAACTGTCGAATGACTCATAGGTTTTGTACAGTAGGTTTTGACGCTGCTGAACGAAGATTGGATTGCCAAGTTGTCGAATTGAAAGCGCCGAGTGAGTGTACGAGTTGTTTAGTGAGTTCGGCGAGGAGTGTTAAATGAGTGTTAAGCCGATTAAATTGTATCATCACCACATTGAACTGTCATGGAATTAGTTATAAAATTGCTTCCATTGTCGTGTTGCCTCATTGCTTTCGAAGGGTAGGGGTGATTCGGAAGGAATTCGAAATAGACTTAGCCAAAATTGCCGAATGATGTGGGTGGCAATAGTGGCGGGAAGACGCCAAAATTGTTGAATTTGGCATTGATCAAATTCCAAGTACGACGGCAAAAATGTTGTTTTAACTGCAATATGTGGCATTGCATATAAAAATCTGCAAATTTTTGGTATGGAATTTGCAAAATCAGACTATACAGATGTGTTCTAAAGGCTCTAAATAGTTGGAAACGACTATTGGATCGTTGGAATTGGACTCCTGATGGCGTAATTTTTGCCAAAATGGATTCGACGGCTCAAATCGGTAGAGAATTAGGCTCCGCGAAGCACTAAATAATTTTCTCTGCAATATGCTGCATTGGATGGCTCGGCTTGACGGCTTGGAAAAAAATATAAGTAAAGTCATTGCCTACAAGATTTGAACTCATGCCCTTGTGAGAAATGTTTTATTCTTAACCACTTTGCCACCTCAAATCCTTTCGTATGTATTTTGCGCATTGTATATTTGAACTTGATTGTTAGGTTATGACAGAAGGTAACTTAGCCATAGTGCACACAATAATTTCTTAAGTTGGCCAACTCTAAATCCAGTCATCTCTTCCGGTAGAATAATTACATTGCTCGGCAAGCTTCGACGAGCTCGCACGGCTTTGTTTGAACTCCGATTTTGATGTTGTTTGTTATGTTGGACTCGTCTCAATGAGTACTTCACATTGGTATGGTCAAAACTTGATTTTGATAACTTAAAACATGTCAATGTGCTGAAAATTTGGTCCGTTTCGCAATTATCAGTGGACTTTGGTTACTTTTTGGCTCCTCAAGTTGGTGGGTTTGGACTCTTTGAGCCGATGCGAATCCTATGGTAGGTTCAAATGTGAATTTCGACAAGCCGAGATACTAGTTTTATGCCAAGATAGTAATGCCGAACAATATTGTATAGTTTGCCGTTGATATAATATACGTATGCCATCCATGATTATCATTGTCGTTGAGCTTGATGACGGCGTCATGGCGCCGAGATTTGGGAAAGCAAACTGTTGTGCGAATTCAAGTTGGCGGTCGAATGATTTGCATGAGATAATAATGTCAAGCAGTGTTGCCGAATAAGAAATGTGGCCGACCAATCTTGCCGAGTAAGCAATATTAGCCGAATAAGCAATGTTGCGGTGTAATGTTTTGCCAAATAAGCCAATAAGTTGCCAAAACTCCTTGAATAAGTTGCAATAATGTGCCAATACTATGCCAAATAATGGTTACTTTGGCTCTGATTTTGGTTACCAATAATCTGTCGAATAATGGTTGCTTCAAAATATAGACTTTCATGCCGAGCTAAAAAAGTGAAAATCTATAAAAATTATAAAAAGAACTGTCAACTACTAAGTGTGTAATGTATTGCCCCAAAACTGGCGCTTGCTTGGAGCTATGTGAAAAGGAGCAGGAGTTTGTAATTCAAGTAAATTTCATTGTAATATGTACCAAGTTAGCCGAGTATGCATGCATAGCAAAGGTGCCAAGATGATGACCGGCTGATATGTCTCAATTGGAAAGCGAAAAATTGACTAAGATGTTCCAGTGGGCAATAAATAGCCAAGGTAATGGAATGAATGATCGGGAAAAACAAAGGATTATTTCCAAGCCCCAAGATCCTGCTGCTAAAAT